CAACATCCCAGGTCCTTCTACAGAACATCCATCTCAAAAGCTCAGCCCACATCCGAGGACCCCTAGCCAGTCAAGAAAATAAAGATGACAAGTGAAGAGAAAATAGGAAAATAAAAGTTATAGTTGTACATGTTAATTTAATAAATAGAAGCTCGTCTATAGCATTTCAGTCAACATCTCTGTCTATTTTCTGTATATAGTGTCTACATTTTATAAAGATACTATCAATATAATGTACATATATAGGGAAAATGGTATCTATACTGCAGCCTCAGCATAGTAAACTATAGTTAGAATTGACACATTGATTTATATTAATAATTTTCAAAGGTATCTTATATAAAAAAACATGGTTTTTCTTTTCCGACTACGTTTGGCTCTTCTACCCGACCGATTAACATGATTTAGGTCTCAAATTGAAGGTATGTACGCACAGATTTGCCATCATGCATCGGCATGTATTTATCTATAATCCCACTCAGGTTATACGTAAACGAAATTTGCTCTCCGTGTATTTCTTATGGGAGATAAATTTGGTTTCTCTTTGCCGAGTTCGTTTGGTCTTCTGCCCGACCGATTTTCATGATTAGGGTCTCAAACTGAAGGTATGCAAGCACAGATTAGCCATCAAGCACCGGCATATATTTATCTATAATCCCACTCAGCTTATATGTAAAAGAAATTTGCTCTCCATGCATTTCTTATGGGAGATAAATTTGGTTTCTCTTTTCCGAGTTCATTTGGCTCTTCTACCTGACTGATTTTAATGATTTAGGTCACAAATTGATGCCATACACGCAAATAATTCACATCATGCATCGGCATATATTTATCTACTATTTTACTCCACTAAAAACATAATTTGATTATTTTCGTATTCTTACATCAATTTAAGATGTATTTCACCAGTTGTAAATATATAATCGTACTGTATATATTTTGGTCTAAGAACTTTCTTTTATTTAAGTAATTGAGATACTGTATTGTTCAATCAGAAATTATAAATTTGATTATTTCTCGGATATTATATTTATTTTAACGCTGCGGAGCAGCATGGGTCCTCTAGTTTAAATTGAAAATTGTTTCGTTATTTATTTATTGCTATGCTATGGTTACCGACTATAAACATCACTTACATTTTTTTACCACTAAATGGTATCATATAATTATAAAATAATCAATATTCATCAGTTCGTTGGGTGTCTAATCCAAGGATTTATAATGGTGTTTTCTACGTTTTCCATTAGTAAAAGAAAATAATGAATTTTGAGCGCGCTCTAGCGTCAGTTTGGAACATCGTAGAAATAAAGTTATTATACGTATATTGTAGGAAATTTAGTGTACTTTAATTTAGTAAATGACAGTTATTGCAAAAAAATACTCCGTTTGTGAGTTATATGCAAAAAAGTAAAACAAAGTACAGTATTTTATTAGTTTTTTGCGATTTCTGAAGTTAGCTCACCTCTGGCGAGGTGGCAAAGTTTAAAATCGGATTCAGCGTCAAAAAATACATAAGAAACCACTGAGAAAAAATCTTCGGGAATTTTTTCCCGGGAAATTCCTTATATGATTGGACTACTAGGAGACAACAGACTTTTACTTTGAGGTTAAAGTGTTAAGTTAGTAGTATCGAATCGATGTTTAAAAGAATGCAAATCAGTGAGTGACCACTGACCAGTGTCTTATTAAATCAAATCTCAAGCTACTCAGCCTAAACACTTTAACGAGTATGTTTTATCTGTGGTTTAACCTACAACAATTGACGAATTGACTTTTTCTAGGCTACACCAACGCAACAAGTAAACTTAGTACCTGTAAGTATCTTATATAGTTGTTGACGCGTGTATCAATGGACGCAAGAACAACAACAGGAAGGCCATTTTCAGGATTTTGCCTAAGTAGTACCTATTGACACATTTTAATTAGTCTTATCGAACTGTAAGTTGACTATGTGACAACCCAGCTTATAGGCACTTCACTAATTAGGCTATTGCACGGTAATAGGCTAATAAAATGGTAGCCTGCTACTGCTTTGAACAGCTAATGGCCTAGCCTACTTATAATAGCCTAATGCTGTTGAGGCCGAGGGTCAATATAACAAAGAAAGGACTAGGCCTAGGCTAAGAACCAATAAGTGAAGATCAAGACATTGGAGTTGACATAAAGTTGGGCCCATATGTCTACATTGATCCCTTAAAACCAAGCCAGTGGAAAAAGGCTGGTGGTGAGACGGACAGGGGAATTTCAAAATATAAACTCAAGCGAGAAAGTGCTGTGTCATGTGAAGTGTATGTGTCAAGTGTGTCTGTTGACAAAGGCTAAGCTATCTTATGGCATATCAGTGAGTGTTATGTTAAAATCTTTTGCTGGTGTTACTAATGCTGCATTACAAATATACTTTCAAGTTAGGCCTACTTTTGTTTGTCTAACTAATAATCTGATTTTATGCATTATTCACTGACATAGAACGTAGGCCTCCCTAGCAAGTAAAAAAACAAAGATAGGTAAGTTAATAGCCTATCTAGGCCTAGAAAGGTAATGTATTTAACGTTCATCTAGCTAAGTTATTAGGTACCTATAGGCTTAGGCCTACGTGTTGTGGTAGGTTACCTACCCTATCTTCAGGGTGCAGTCCCGCAGCCAATTTAGCCTTAGCCTATGATATTTTATCGGATGAAATATTATTGTTCGAACCTAAGCTGCTGTAAACTTAGGCTGCACTTAAGTTTACGTCCTACACTCGCTCGAATGAAAAATATCAATTTACGGTATAGACTGCTCGATATATCGATGATTTCATTTGATTAAGTTTAGTTAGGTTAGGTTAACCTAATTAACCAAACTTGATATAAGTTAGCCTAAGTTACTGAATGAAATAATTGATATATCAATCATCGATACATTCATCATACATTACCGATAGGCCTACATAGGCTACATATCGAATAATCAATATATCGATCAACAATTTCATTCGGTTGTTTGTGCCAACAGATATGGAAGTCTACCCGATTGTTGTGCTCCTACTTATTGTATCATCGGGTTCCATTTTTAGGCGATACCGTAGGCTTAAGATACCTTAGAATTTTGATTGTAAGTTATGTTTTTTAATATGAACATTTGGCTGCACTTTACTTTAGGTCCTACAATCATTCGACTAACCAAATGATATATCGAATGAAACAATCGATTAATCAATATGTCGATCGATATTTTCATTCGATTGAGTGTAGGACCTAAAGTAAAGTGCAGCCGAACATTTTACATAAGCCTTGGATCTTTTGGTACTTTCCTGTTTTTAAAGGGAACATTTATTAATATCAATGATTTTTTCGATTCTTATCAGTAGGCCTATTTTTGTTTTCCTTTACAATTAATTACAAATTGACAACTGATCTTGTTTAGGCTAAAATATAGTCTATTATATGGATTAAGAAACTAAACTGTTCTATAAGCTAACCTAACATAACCAACCAGTCCGTTTCATAACAGAAAAGGCAAGTAGAGAATATTAAACAGAATTTTTAAATGTTACAGCGAGTTGGTTAGTTTGGTACTTTCCTGTTAAAGGGAACATTCATTATTATCAATGATTTGTTTCTTGATATATCAATATTAACAAATGGCTGCACTTTACTTGACGTCCTACACTCATTTGAATGAAAATATCGATCGATATATCGATTAATCGATTGCTTCATTCGATATATCGTTTGGTTAGTTAGGTAAGGTTAACCTAACCTAACTAACCAAACGATATATCGAATGAAAATATCGAATCGAAAAAACAATCGAATGAGTGTAGGACGTCAAGTAAAGTGCAGCCTAACAAATTGAAACATCAGCTAACAACTACGACAAATATTGTTCAGTATCAACAAACAATAATGTAATGAAACTGTTCTAAAAAAATAACCTAACATAACTAACCAAACTTGCTGTGTAACGTGTAACATTTAAAAACTCAGTGTTAAACTTGCCTTTTCTGTTATCAAACAGAATTTTTAAATCGTACAGCAAGTTTGGTTGGTTATGTTAGGTTAGCTTAGAAAAGTTCCATTTCTTAATCCATATAATGGACTATTTTAACCTAAACAAGATCAGTTGTCAATTTGTTGTTGTTGTTTTGGATCGAAAATCAAAAATATCGATATATCGAGAGAAAAAAATCATCGATAATAATGAATGTTCCCTTTAACAGGAAAGTACTGTTAGTTTTGTTAGGTTAGTTAAGAACAGTTTCATTTAAATATTTTTTTAAAACTTACCAGCTGCACTTTACTTTAGGTCCTACACTCATTCGAATGAAAATACAGTAGAACCTCTTTAATCCGAACCCCTGTAATCCGAACGTCCACTAATCCGAACGCCTCATTGCTGTATTCTATACACAGTACAGTAGTTCTTTATTGTATACCGTACTGTATTTATTGATATACGCACCGTAATTATTTCAACTGTAATGTACAGTACCGTACTGTTTATTCCCAATGTTTACTACTGTATTAAATAAACACTGTATTTTACTTTATAAAGCATTTTCCACATTTCCCTAGCTATTGTTATGTAAAAACAACAATATGTTCTGTAATCCGAACTATTCAATAGTCCAAACTACCCCCGGTCCCAATTAGTTCGGATTAAAGAGGTTCTACCGTATTGATCGATATCTTGTTTCATTCGATATATCGTTTGGTTAGTTAGGTTAGGTTAACCTTACCTAACTAACCAAACGATATATCGAATGAAACAATCGATGCTAATGACCCCCTCCTTGCCCAAGAACCCTGCCATCCTAGCTTGTGTGTTTCTGCAGATATTGAACCATCGATCGAGCGCCCAAAGCACCCTACTTTCATCAGGAACATTCGAAGATGTGACATTGAAAAGGTTAAAATTGACCTCCAGGACGGAGCCATTCAGCTCGACTATGATTGCAGCGATGTCAATCTTCAATTTCCACTTTTTGCAGTCAACTCAGCGAACTCATCAAATCTCACTCTCCTTGGAAGTCTGTCAGTCCCTCCGTCTTTCCAAAATGGTTCTCCAAAGAGCTTAGGGAACTTGTTATTCTGAAGAAGACGCTTCACAAGAAATATAAGATATCTCTCAACTTGATTGACTACCACAACTTTAGCGTCATTCGGGACCGATGCAGGGCTGTATCCAGGGATTGTCGTTTGAGCTACGTCAACCATGTTAATACTACCATTTCCACTAATGTCAAGATCTTCTGGAGTTTTGTGAAGAATCTCAATCGAACATCTTCCATGCCCTGCTCCCTTAAACATGGTCCAACTGAGGTTTCCCACCCACAAGAGATGTGTGAACTGTTTGCCGAATATTTCTCGTCCGTCTACTCTCATGCGTCCCTTGATGAGCTGCCAGTACCTTCATTCGATACTCCATTCACCATCTCAGATTGTGCTATCTCCCTAGAAGATATCAATAAGAAGCTTCTTCACTTGGACCCCACCAAGGGTAGTGGACCTGACAACATCACGCCTGGAGTACTCAAATTCTGCCACTCTGAGCTGGTACATCAGCTCCATTTCCTATTTAACCTTAGTTTGTCTACAGGCACTTTTCCCTCCACACTGAAATATGGTTATGTGGTTCCAATCTTCAAATCCGGTGATCGTTGCGATGTTACAAATTACAGGCCCATAGTAATCCAGTCCGTCCTCAGTAAAATTTTTGAAGGGCTTATTTTAGACATCGTACAGCCTTTATTTAAACATATCATAATTGATGAGCAGCATGGCTTTACCTCTGGTCGCTCCACTGTGACGAATCTTTTATCTCTCCAGTGTCTGGTGTTGGAAGCCTTTGGTCGAAGAAATCAAGTTGACGCCATTTACATTGACTTTAGTAAAGCCTTTGACAAGATAAATCATAGTCATCTGCTTGCAAAGCTCCAAGGCTATGGGTTCACTGGAAGGATTCTACAATGGTTTAAGAGCTACCTTACCAATCGACGGCTTGCTGTACGCCTTGGTTCTGAAGTCTCTTCTTTCTTCGCTGCAAGTTCTGGTGTTCCTCAGGGGTCTCATCTTGGACCGTTCTTGTTTTCCATCTTTATTAATGACATTAAGAAGGTCATCAAAGTCCCATTTCTTCTATTTGCGGATGACATTAAGCTACTCGTCGAAGTTGCATCACATCATGACTGCCAGTCCTTGCAGGACGCCCTCGATGACGTATTTGGCTAGTGCCTCTCCAATGACATGGCTGTGAATCCCACAAAAACCAAATTGATCACGTTCAGCAGGAAATTAAATACAGTGTTAGCTGACTACTCTCTTGATGGCAACCGGGTTGAGAGATGCAATACCATCAAGGATCTTGGTGTTCTAATTGACTCCTCATTCGAGTTTGGACCCCACATAAACCAAATCTGCACCAGGGCCTCTCGTATGCTCGGTTTGGTATTCCGCTCTGCTAGACATGGTTTGAGCAACCATGCCTGTATTATCCTATACAAGTCTCTCATCCTGCAGCTTCTCGAGTATGCTTCCTTGGTTTGGTCACCATACCATCTTGGCCATATTTACCATCTTCAGTCGGTACAAAGACGCTTCATCAGGTTCCTGGGATGTCGTGCTGGACTTGACTTTCGTGACGTCCGGGTAGATGAGCTCTCTAATATCTATGACATTCCGAGTCTTGAAAACAGAAGGCGAGTGGCTGATGTGACCTTTCTCTACAAACTGATAAATAACCAAGTCAACTGCCCCTTCTTGCTGGAAAGGATAAACTTCCATGTTCCTTCGAGAATCACGAGACATCAGCGTGTATTTGAACTGGACCATACTGGGACCAACTACGCCAGATCTAGTCCCATTCCCCGGATCATGCGCCTCGGGAATGTGATAAGCAGCTCTGTGGACCTTTTAACTGCCTCCTTGGGGGTGGTTCGGCGTTCTGCGGCTGACAGCATCCTTGAGGGTGCACCATAAAAGCATTGTTGTTGTTATTCCTTTGTTGTAGATTTTTTCCCATGTTAATATTTGTTATCTATTTTGTTTGTATTCTTGTTATTGATATATTCATTGTTATGTTTTGTTATTGTTATATTTTTTATACATTGTTATATTTTTTTATGCATTGTTACTCCTCTGTTAATTATTATATCTTTATAATATTTTTTGTAACTACTTAATGTAAAATGGTGTTTGCCGTTGGTGTTTAATAAATAAATAATAATAAATAAATAAATCGAATAATCGATATTTTCATTCGAATGAGTGTAGGACCTAAAGTAAAGTGCAGCCAAATTACCTCCTTTGTTGATACTGAACCAGCCTATATTTATTTATCGTAGTTGTCAGCTGATATGTTTCAATTTGTTAAATATCGATATATCAAGATAAAAATCATCGATAATAACGAATGTTCCCTTTAACAGGAAGGTACCGATCTTTTTAAGAAGAATATTTTACACAGTGCTGCGGCAGTTAGGATGTGTGACAGGCCTAACTTAATAACAAGTAAGATAAGTTAGGCTAGCTTAACATTTCTAAAAAAAGACGTTGGTTTATTCTGTATAAGTTAGTCTGTTACCGATCGTCAAATACAGTTGACACCAAACTTTAGTCATTACCCTAACCTAAAGGCCAGATTTCCCTTTTGGACCAAGCTTATTGAATTAAAACTAATCCACAGACCAAACCTATTTAAGTTATTTGTTTTTCTAAACAAGTAGGGTTGAAATAACTCACACAGAGAATACGCATCCGGTAACCGGACGTGGATTAGGCATTCGGCAGTGACGTCACCGGGTTGTGGGGGCCCAGAACGCAATTACCTCAACGATTGATGTTTAGCCATCGGTGTTTGTGGTGTAGTGGATAGAGTGCTTGGCTGATATGCAAGAGGTAGGTACCTGAATCGAATCTCATCGGTACCTAACTTAAACTTTTTGTCAAAAGATTTTGCTTTGAATGCCATTTCTTCTAAACTGTACATCTTTTGTTAGAATTTTTGGCATTTATAATTTTATTTTATGAACAGAAGATAACCTTCACTCAATTTTTTCATTATCAACAAGTTTGCTTGGTTAGGTTAGGTTATGACAGTAACTACCGGATGCCTAATCCACGTCCCATGCCGGACCGGACGCATATCTTCTGCGAATAACTTAATATTTGTTTTTATGAAATAGGAAAACAAAATTAAATTGGGTAGACTTTCATAAGTGGGGCTAAATACAATCAAATAAGTTAAATATAGGCCTACCTATATTGATCGATAGATTAGGTAGGCTATATAGATTACTTCATTTGATATATCAAGTTTGGTTGGTTAGGTTTGGTTAGTTACGTATAAAGTATGTTAAAGAGAACATTCATTATTATCGATGATTTCTTTTTGATAGCCTATATTGATATTTTTGTTTTACTTCATGATCCGTATTCCTTCTGATTTATTACCTTTAAACGCATTTAAATTAGCCTACCGGTACCACAAATTAAAAACTAACTTAGTTTATAGGCAAAAATAAATTCCTTAATATTCCTAATCCTATATAGGCCTATTGAATTAGGAAAGACCTATTCTAAACTAACCTAACATAACTAACCAAACTTGCTGTAGGCTAAGTAACCGGTTCCGAAATTTTGTTTGATAACAGAAGATGCATAAAGGGAATAGGCTATCAAACGGAATTTTGAAATGTTAGGCCTATAGCAAGTTTGGTTGTTTAGGTTAGTTTAGAACAGTTTCATTTGTATATAGGCTAAAATATTTTTAAATTTTTAGTTGATACTGATCAATATTTATTATTTATTCATCCTTATCAAAGTTGTCAGCTAATATGTTTCAATTCTTGTTATTATCAATATATCAGATAGAAAAATTCAATACCTAGGCCTATAGGCCTATATCGAAAAGAAATCATTGATTATAATGAATGTTCACTTAAACAGGAAAGTACCTGTCAATCTTTATCCATAATATAAAACACAAAAATATTATAATAAACACACACTAACTATTTTGAAAAGGACTGGGTCAACTAACGCATTGAGACCTAATCGAGATGTAAAAAAAAAAAAAACCACATCAACAGAATATTTAGGCATTATTCCATTCCTTATTCCACTATAACATTAGACCTAAGTACAACTAACAACTAAGTCGATAAAATAAACTGTAGGCTAGCCTACATGTGTCACAAACCATAAAGTGTAAGTTACGCTTTTTGACATCAACAAAATACTTGACGTCGGTCCAGTGAGTCCAGACCCATTGTCAACTGTAGTTGACGCTGGTCCTTGACAAAAACCCTAAGGCACGTGGTTGCTGCACTGAGGCAGCCACTGCGTTTCTATAAGAACATTTACTCAACTGGATGCTTTTATGCACTGCAGTTGCTCTATAGTTGCGGTTTGCAAGTCCAGTGTGGGAGACATAGGAAACGCAGTTTTTTTTTCGGCTTTAGGTACATTTGGTCTTTTGGTAGCTTTCAAATGCACTGTGGTGCAACAACTGTCACTGCTACCAGTGATATGCTCCCAAACCGCATGCGAGTTTTGCAGACGTGGGGTTTTCGTGGCGCGGTACTATCCTCAGTGCCTAAAAGGGGCCTTGTGTCATCCATAGTTGACTGCTATGTGGTGAAGGAATTTTTTTAACATAGGCCCTATCTGTAATGTGTGTGATAAAGAGATAGATTTACAAAGACGTAACTTGTTTTTTTTTTTACAAGTTTTAAAATGGTAAAATTCAGTTAAATAATTACTTTTTATATTATTTGATTGTTACAGCGTACAGTACTGTAAAAGGGTGACACACAGTCCTTTTAGCGAATTTCCCTCTAGGGGAAGTAGCTATTACCGTAGGTTTCATGGTAAGACCTAGGCCCGGGACCAATTTACTTTTTCATTTCCATGTCCCTAGAGGCCAAAAACACTAGCCTATTTGTTCAAATTTGTATATACAGACTGTCCCAAAAGTCCCGGAACGGTTTAATATTTTCTAAACGACAGATAAATCAATAAGACTAGAGGACCCATGCTGCTCCGCAGTGATAATAGGCTATCCAAGAAATAATAGTATTTATAGTTTTTTAAAGTAATACAGTAGGTTTCTTGATCTTAACTGATTCAAACAATCAATAACTCAAATTAAAGCCTAAGTTTAAATTTACCAATTTTTTTAGTCTAAGACATATAAAAGACATAAACAATACTGGAGC